GGCTATCTCATCCGAAATTCCATAAAGGTAACTTTGAGTCTATGATTGGAGTTCTTTTGTCTAATAATTATCCTCTCAATTTGATATTTCAAACATTACAAGCGCGGTTAAAAAAGTTGTTCTTCCGGTACAATAATAAGTTGCATAACAATAGAGCAAATATATGCAATGACAAGATTCTAACGCAGAAAAAAGTTTCGAACTTTAATATTCCGTATATTAATAATGTATCGAAGAGAATCGAGGACATTACACGTGATTTGGATGTCATTCCATCATATACAGCAATTAACAGTCTCCGTAAATTCATCAAAGTATACAAGGATAAGTTACCAAGGGAACTCCATAACAATATAGTTTATAAAATTGATTGTATGGATTGTGATGCGTCGTATGTAGGGCAGACGGGTAGATTGTTGAAAACTAGGATGAAAGAACATCGCAGCAACATAAAAAGAAACGCGTCACAATTATCAGTCATATCGGAACATAGATTATTGAACCATGAATTTAATTGGGAGGATGTAAAAGTCTTGGACGAGGAGCCTTTTTTAGGTAAACGTTTGATATCCGAAATGATCCACATAAAGCGTCAGAAGAATAGTCTAAATTTACATAGCGACACCGACAAATTAAACAGAATTTTGATCTGTTAATTGAAAAATTTACCAAAATCTAGCTTTGTGATTATACATAACCGGATTTTTTCGTTAGACCTTTGACATGAGTGCCGATAAGTATTAGTTGTTTTTATTTTTATTTTCATATTTTATTTTTATATTTGTTTTTTGCGTATATATGTATCGACTGTGTCGAGGTAGAATACCGCACAGTCGTTAGAGTGATGTGTCACGTGTAGCATCGTCTTCTCTCTGTTTTTGCTGTCGGGGTGAGTGTTCTTCCCGGTTTTTAATTTTTAATTCTTGTGGATTGTTCTACGTTTAATTTATATTATGTTGATTAGTGTTGGTAAGGGAGTCACTGCTCTGCTTCCTTCCTGACGATGGTCACCGTTAGGGAGACACTCCGACGGCCGGACGGTTTGAATAGGGAGGAGAATGATATTTAATTTATTTGCGGATTGTATGTATACGAGTTTATAATTTTCTGATTGTACCGATTATCTTCTATTTTTGTTTCTTTGTATTTTGCAGCTACTGAAGAAGACCCGAAGTGGGTCGAAACGTTTAGAATTTAATAAATGAGTTTGATTTGAGGTCTCATTTTAATTTATTAATTTTGTGCATGTCATCCGCACAGGCTCCGATTGCCGTCGAGATTTTATTTTTATTGTAACACAATAATTCGAGCCGAGATTAACATTTTTTTTTTTATATTAAAATAAATATTCTCAAAGCATCATTAAAGATTGCAGGATACCAAAATGATAAAAGCAGATCCGGTGGACATAATCAATGTGACTCGGACATAAAAGATAGAATTGCAGCAATAGAACGAATCAGGAATAATACTGTGTAGCATATTTTAAAAGAGCACTGATAGAAATAAATTTATTGCGACATTTTTTTATAAATATTTGGCCAGGAACTCGTGGCGATAAAATTATCTTCTCGGCGGGTCAGATTTAAGTCCTCTTGATTTTTTCTTTTAGGAACATTTAAAAACTATGTCTCATGCAGTTAACTGAATAAATACTGGAAAAATAACAAGAAATTTAATTTGCATCAAATGTATTACAGAACATGATGATTGACTTTCAAAACGAAAGATAGCACTTTCACAGAAGAATCGCGGTCTGTCTACGACAGAATAAAAGAAGTTATACTGTTAATGTTATTATAATTCGTGTAAAATTTTTTGTGGATAAATCTTGTGGACGGGATAATCGCGATGTATGTTGTGAAAGGAATGTTGTTCCAAGCTAAATATTGCATAATATACATCAACTGTTACGATGTAAGCTTTTGTATACTTATGCGTCACAGTGTATTTTGACGGCAACTCTACCGATGTACCTTACGCACGCCAGATATCGGCAGATTGCCGTGCGTCAGGCGCTCTTAATGCGAAGTTTAAAATATTTATAATTAATGAACGAAGTCTCCGACGCAATTTTGTCATTCTTGATTTTCGTCTTATTTTATCATGTAAAATCACTCCTTACATTTTGGCCCACCTGTTACCGAACATCCTGTATATATATATATATATATATATATATATATATATACAGGGTGTTCAGTAACTAACGGACCAATAATTAAGAGCGGATTCTCTAGCCAATTTGAGAGATAATTTTTCCTTAGCAAAAATGTTGAGAAGTAAATAATTTTCGAGTTATAAGCGATTGAAAAAAATGGGTTTTTTGAAAACTAAACGTTTCGGAGTTAAAAGTCCAACATAATTACATTCTTCAGTTAATTTCAGGTAGAGTTTACTATAATAAAATTTTAATTTGAGGCTTAGTTATAAAGATACATAATGACAAATATTGGAAACTTGTAAAAAATGATGAGTTTTTCGACATTTTCGCTGAAAAAAAATCGTTCCCAAATTGACCAAAGAATCCATTTGTAATCGTTGGTCCGTTAGTTACCGTACACCTTGTATATATTCATATGTATTTATATATATATATATATATATATATATATATATATATATATATATATAACAACCTCTAAGTTCTGTTGATCTGACACATCATGTTTATCATAATGACCCGTACAGAGAATCAGTCAGTCTTTCATGGTCTTTCGAACTGTATCATGGTAGATATAATAATTGTAATAAAGTGTGTGTGAATAATTATATTCTTCGAACAGTGCATACTGCTAGAGCATTAATTTGCTGTAGTAATTTATAAATATATAATTTTGCAATTAACATTTTGTTTCAAAATATTGGGTAAGTCAAAATTAATTTCAAATATAAAAACACACATTTGTTTATAAATACAAAAAAAATTTAATCGTAAAGTACAACAGCATTTTAAATAATTTCCAACATATGTATAGGAATAAAGAAAATAAGTTTATTCAAAACTATCTTTGAATTTTAATCCAGAGATAATTTCACATAATGTCGATATAATATTTTAAGAATTGTAATGTTGAAATAATCTGGAACTCACAAAAGTTTGATATCAAATAAATTATTTCTAAAACTTAAAAATACTGCAACTTACATAACAGATAATAAATTTTATAATAGACAATTTTAATTGTCCTTTTATTAGTAGATTATTAAAATTTTATTTTCTACAATTAGTCGTACTTATTTTTTATAAGAGAAATATCTGTGTGTAATTTAATATTTCAAATGATTTTTAAGATGTGCTGACATTGAGTAAAATAACTTTAATAAAAAAGAAGAATCAAATACTAATTTTTGTTGCTGAAAATTATGTACATAATTAAAAAAAATAAAAAATAGAACAATTGTTTTTAATTTGTATTCGATATATCTTCTTATAAGGGCAATAATTATGAAAAGTTTAAAAAAATTAATTTTGTTAAGAGAGAAATAAATATAAAAAATTAATATAAAAACAACACTTATAAATAGAATTATCGTAGAAAGTAGAATTATATTGATCATATAAGTTAGAAGTAGACAGAAAATTAAATATTTTACGTAAAATTTTTTTACATAAAATATTTTATATAAAACATACAAAACGCATGTTAATATTTAAAACGCATAAACAATAGTTTATATCTATTTAATAAGATATTCCATTAAAGTTGAAACGTTTTAAATATTTAAATTAAAAATGATTAAAATTTAATTTTTACTTTTATAAACAAAAATAGTAATGTTACATGTGTATTGATAATGGTAATATGTAAAAAATATAAAATTATTTCAATTAGAAAGCTGTAATAAAATAAACATTGATAAACATTATAGCTTTAATACTTAATACCGAAATAAATTATGATAAGAAATTGAGTCAATGTATCAAAAATTATAATAATTTTTTATTAATTATAAATTATGTATAAAGTAAAATGATGGTACATTCTAATTGTCAATCGAATAAAAAATCCGTAATATTATAGAATTCAAGCATTTTTAACTCTACATTTATTTTGATGCGTTTAATTTGAAATATCTAAAATAAACTCCTAGCTCCGGGACACCTTATATATATGTATATAATGTTTATTATTAAGTTTATAATTTATAAAATTTAAAATTGATTTTATGTTGGTTTTATTCTCGGTGATTGTTCGTTTGGAGTTTATAATACACAATTTAAGAAATGAAATAACACAGACCTCTAAATGAAAATAATAATAAATATGTGCTCTCTGTCACCGCTGCTTAGTCTTTCTTATCCTTTTATTGTCTTCTTCTTATTTTGAATAAACATACAGGTTTTCATGTAGATAAATCAATATCAATAACTCGCGCGAAGCGCGCGCTTGTATTATCTGGCACATTACAAAAATTCAGAAATGAAAGTTATACACATAATTAAAATTCAGCAAATTTAAAATATGTATATAATTAAAAGACATTCGAGAATTAAAATAGAAGCGCAGATATTTTAAATCAAAGATTGCAGAACATAATACTTTTTGTTTTCTGTAAAAAATTTATATATTGAATTTTAATGAATCACGTAATTAATAAGTATATTTCTATACATGCATTGCAATAATAATTTTTTGTGTTGCAATTTTTAAAGTTTATTATCAAAGAATTCGTTTCGCGCACGTAATTATATTTGATATTAAATTAAACAAAATAAGAAAAAAATAAATAATAACATAGAAAATATGTATAAATATATACAAAATAGTTGTAAAGATAGAAATTCGGCGAATTAAAATTATGATCATATTTCTACCTTCAAGCAATTATCATCGCAAAAATTAACAATGACCATTGTACAATAAATAATAGAAATAATTTTCTATAAAAGAAAGCGCACTCTTGTGTCGTTTAGTGATTTAAAAAAAGACATCAAAATTATATTTAATTTCTATATTTATCTTTTTGTTTAGGGAGTGTGTTTTACAGATCTAAAATAAATATTCGTTTTCCGACAAGATGATATTTCTAAAACTATTATTAATAAGTAGTGGATTAATGTTTATCCCTGAAACGGCTTCTATCCGTAATGAATCATCTTTATGCTATCAACCATCAAAATTTATAAAACCAATCCATTACGATATCAAGCTTATAACATATATTGAAGGACATATTTTCTATGGAGAATATAATATCAGCATAAGCATTCTTAACCTAACGCAACGAATATTTTTACAATCAGAAAAATTAAGTATTCAAGATATAGTTTTATTTAAAAATATAAAAAAAAATCATGAGAATGATAATGATACAGTTTATGAATCGGTACGTGATATTAAAGAAGACACAATTGTTATTTTGTTTATAAATGAGTTATTACCAGGAAATTACACTTTAAATATAAAATATTATGGTACTTTTAATGAAGATTTTAGAATTTACGACATAAAAGGAAAAATGGCGTAAGTAAATAATTACATGTTTATTAAAAAAGTACGATGTGCAATTACATAAAACATTGTAATTAATATATATTATTTATGTATTATATGTTTTGAAAATTATTATATATCATGGAATTTAAATATAAAGACGATCAGCCTTTAGTACATAATATTACATATTACATTTATAAATTTTTTCAATTTCCAATATTTTATGCTTGCTAAAAGTGTTTCATTAATTTATATTCTTTGAAATGTATAGCTGGGTAGCTGCTATTCATTTCCATACAATATGGCCGCAACAAAGGTCTTCATGTAGGGATGAACAGAATTTATTGTTAGAAGCAACCTTTAACATGTCTATAGGATGTAATCAATGTACGGCTTTATCAAATATGCCATTGCAAAATGAGGAAGAAAATGAGTACAAAATGTTATGGACACACTTTGCTACCACATCTGCAATGTCGCCTTATCTTATAAGAATGATTGTGTCTAATTTCCTCTCACGTATTGATAATGACAATCGAAACATTGAAATGTGGTGCAATAACAAATATGGATTTTATATGAAATTTGCAATAAATTTTGCTGAAAATATCACGTTGTTTCTTAAAAATGAATGGAATTCGAACGTAAAGGTGACTCACGTTGCAATTCCAAATTTCCATGACAATGACATAATAGATTTCGGAATTGTTTTTTATAAGTGAGTACGAGTGCTTAAAATTACATTAAAAATAAAATTATATTAGTATGCAAAATTAAAAAATTTAAAAACAAGTATATTTTTTGTTTATGTAAACGTTTGAAAGTATAAGAAATTGCGAAAACAATTTTAATGAAATTAAGTTTATTTATATTATTACAAAGTATATTAAATATATTAAATATTAAAAAGTATACCGTTTTAATAAGTCTACCGTTTTAATACGTACATAAAGGATAAAACATATATGCTAAATCGTACCCTCTTACAATTAGATAAATGTTAAAACTGCAATGAAGCTGTAAAAGAAATAACATATTTTAATTTATTTGAAATTATTGTTCTTTGTCAACGATATACATATTAACTGAAATTTTTTGTTGTTTTATATTGTAAATCAAAAAATAAAAAAATATTATTTGGTACAATTTACAATACTGATTCGCTAAATTGTATCCATGATTTTGTAAATCGTACATATAATAATTAAATTAAAATATTGTAACAAAAATAAAATTTAATTTTCTATAAAAATTCTGAGTCTTAACATTTAAATATAATTTTTAGGGATACAGATATCATCTACGATAAAAATTTACATTCTATTGCTAAAAAAATTGAAGTAGCTCAATTAGTAGGACGTAAAGTGACACAGCAATGGTTTTATAACATGTTGAACAATCCGTTAGTGTCGGATTTTTGGTTTAAAAAAGGACTTATTACATATCTTGCAACGTATGCAGTCAAGATGGTACGTTATTTTAAATATTTTCAACGCTATCTTGCTCGCACCTTCTCGCAAACGATATAATACTAAAGCATTTATATTGCAAGATTTTCTTAAATCAAACATTTTTTACAAAATTTATATGCATTCTTTGTAAATTGTCTTGAAAACATATATAGCATTTTTTAAAATAATGAACTCATTTTGAGAAAACATTTTTTTTATATGTTTACGTGCATAGGTATATAATTTAATAATATTAATTTAATTTTATATTTTTATTTTTTTAATTTACTAATTTATTAAATATTTTTAAATTTTTATGTAATATAAAATGAAATAAATTAATCAAGAACCAGTACACATGATATTTATTGAAATAAATTCGATAAAGAGAAGTCTGCAATATAATATCATGAGACAATAGTTTAAAAATAAGCAATAATTGCTAGTTATATTAATACAAAATTGTATATTTTATTATTATATATTTATTTTAATGTGTGTTTTTCAAAATGAGAATGTTTTGTTTTAACAATGAAGTAGCATTAATAATATTAGTATTTGTATTAATGCAGATTTATTTTTAAAAAAATATATCAATATATTTAATTTTTTTTTTCTATAGACTTATCCAGATTATCAAATAGAAAATTTATTAGTTGTTCAAAATCAACATTACTCTTTTAATTTGGATAGTGGTTATTATATGTGGAATTCTACTTTACAAGATAACAATTCATCGGAAATTCCCAATTCTATCAGAGGTATATGTAATATAATAAAATAGTTTGCGTAAATTTTTAACTGTTAATATTTTAAGATAAGTCTAAAATTAAAAGATAATTAATTCTTTTTTAAATCTTTATGATATATAATTAAATCTTCATAAGTATTAACGAGAAATGTACTTATAAAATAGAATGATAAACGGTGCGGCAATAAAAAACATTTCACTCTTACGCGATTACTATCCTGTATATACATATATATTATAATTTTTTTTGTAAAATTACTATGTTTACACGTATCCATTATAATAAATATACATTTATAAAATATCTAATTTATAATTTTTATGTTAATTATAGCACCCTTTATAATGCGCATGATGGAACTCTCCTTAGAAGAAAGTTCTTGGAATAACATTCTTTCATATGCAAATAGCACGTGAGTAAAAACAACATAGAATATAATATAAAAAAATAAATTTATATAAATCTTAAATAATTTATAATAATATACAAATTTTATAATGTCCCTTATTTTTTTTCGTTTCTTCTGACATTATTTCATTTTTTTAGTGTTACAATTCCTCTATTTTTACTGATCTTCTATCAGAATTATTTTTTATTTCATTATTCTTATTCCTATGAAAATCTATAGAGAGAAGTTGTTATCGTTATAATTTTTTCATATACATATTCATTGTTGTTTTATTTTTGTTTTATGATTTATCATCTTTTTAAATAATTTTAAAAATTATTTTTCTTTTTATTATTTCCTTTATTTTTTTATAATTCTGTCTATAATTATTCTTATATCTGTTTTTTTAATTGGATTTTTACGTTACATTTGTTTCCTAATTTTATTTAACAGGTTTTTAAATATATAACACTTGTGTCTCTTTTCATTTACTTTCTATATTTTTATTTTCTTCTTCCGTAAATCGATGTCCTTTATATTATTTTTGTTTTGTTTTTAACTTCTTATTTGTTTTAATTCTTCTTTTAATCATTTTATACTCTCTCAATACTTTGCTCAAATATAATCTGTATAATGCTAAAAATACCTAAAAAAATTAATAAAATTATTAAATTTTATTTAAAGTTATATATGTGTAATATTCTTTATTATTATAATATAAATATAAGATATATAAATATCTGCAAATTAGAAGTGCGATTTTATATTTTGCTTTTTAGTGTTTATTAAATGTTTAGTAATTATTGAGATATATGAAGCCACCTCCAATTTTTATGACCTTGACATATGTTGTCAAGGTCACTGTCCTGAACAAGCATGAAAAGGTTTTAGCTTGGATATTTGATGTTGATAAAAGCTTAGATGCTTTTTTAATACAATAGCTAGTATGTATGCTGTAGATAAAGATATAAATAAATAGTAAAATAAAATAAAAATATATATTAAATAAATTTTAATTTTATATCATATTATTCAGGTCAGTGACTTTGACAACAAATGTCAAGGTCATCGAAATCGGAGCTGGCTCCCTATATCTCAAAATTACCATAATTTTTTATAATATTAACATTATACAGATAATTTTAACACATTTGCAATTTATTTTTTATATATTTTACATATTTTGTAAATTTAGGCTATCACATCGTCTAGACTCTACAAATTTTATGAGGAATAATCATTTAAGAATAAGAGAGATTATTGTTATGCGAAAGTGGGCTGCGGAAAAGCATTGTCCTTTCATTAAAGTAGAACGAAATTATATAGATCCTATAAGCCACACAACCGTATCGATACAATATATCGACATATTAGTAATTCGTCAAATTCTTATAACTTTTAGTACGCAATCATCTTCCGATTTTAACAATTTCACTCCTTATTTTCTATACGCGTTCGAGGATTTCGAATTATCATTACCATTTAAAGAGAATGGTTGGATGATATTCAATATACAACGAGTTGGTAAATATCGACAAATGGATTTATTATGACTTATTTCTCGTCTTTATTTTACACATAATGACAATTTTATTTTTTATCTATTTTATTACTTCCTCATAGAGAAAGTTTATTGTTTTGGTGAAAAAATTTTTTTTCATATTGCTATACCAATGTGTTTAGAATGTTCCAAAACATCGAAAAAATACATTTTTAAAAATAAGTATGTATTTACGGATGTATGCGCACACCCACATTTGCGTGTTTTTTTATATCTCAAAAATTATTTGATTTGAACCACGGACACTTCTAAAAAAATTTAAAATTCTATTAAAAATAAAATACTTTATGCATTTTTCTAGAAATTGCGGTAAATAAAACTGTTATTGCACTTGTATGCCAAATTAGAGCACTCCAAGTCCAATACTTTTTGAAATACCATATAAAAAAAACACACAAATGTGGGTATGCACATACATCCGTACATACATATCCATTTTTCAAAAATGTGTCTTTTCAATGTTTTGGAACATTCTAAACACATTGGTATAGAAATCTGAAAAAAATTTTTTTCACCAAAACAAAGCTTTCTCTATGTGGAAGCAATTATATGTATTTGCATTTTATTTATATGTATAAATATTTTGATATGTTTTTAATTTATAATTTATATAAACAAATTATAAAACGAAAATTGAAGTAAGTTTGAAAATAATTAAAAAATAGGTTTGAAAATATTAAATATTAATTATAAAATTATTCAAAACAATAAAAGTTAATATAATTTATTTCCTATTCGACAGGATATTATCGCGTTAACTATGATGATGAGAATTGGCAAAGAATTTCAAATTTTCTAAACTCTGATAATTACATGAAAATTCATGTTCTTAATCGTGCCCAAATTATCGATGATGCATTTCATTTAATGATAGCAGGCCAACTTAACTGCCATATATTCTGGGATCTCATAAAATATTTGCATCGAGAAGAAGATTATGTGGCATGGTATCCTATGTTTAAAGCTATGGAATACATGTATGGTACTTTTCCATGGAAAGAAATGGTTGGAAATGTTACGGTAAATATTAATAAATTTCAATGAAAATATTACATTTTAAATATCTTCATACTCTCATTGATCACAAATTAGAAAAATATGTCCATCAACGATAAAAATTTACATCTGTTGCGTCGCAAACAAATGTACAAACAAATTCAGTTTGAATAATCACTCACCCGAAGAACTGTCCGAAAAATCTGATTTTCATTACTCCAAATATTATTGATATATAACATTGTTATTAGATATATAGCAAGGTGCTTAAAATCTTTCTCAATGAATGCAATTATAATGGCTTTATATCAATATTACATGTTGTAATTAAAAAAAAATTAAACATATTTTTATGGGAAAATAATAAAAAAATATGATATATTTTAAATACATTTATAATATGAACAAATAATATAAATTTGCTGTTTTTTTAAATCAGCCAACAAAGCCAAAGCACGAAAAATTAATTTTTCGGAACTGTATCTCTTGGTTTGAGATCACTAAGTTCCATATATAAATTAATCTCGAAACTTACATATAGAAAAATAGGCGCGAAAATTATAGGTCCGAAAAGTCGCTGAAGCGGGAATCGAACCCGCATTTTCACTTTTCGGGCGACTGCTCCTACCAACTAAGCTATTCAGACTCTTTCATATCCTATATCATACAACATGAACAAATAAATATGTATTTAACAATTTTTAGTTTTTACTAAGATACGCATTATACATGGTACTTGAAAGAATCAAATATGAAGAAATTGATGATACAGACGAACTTAGAATATGTTTACGACAAGAAGCTGCAAGATGGGCATGTTTTCTCGATAGCCCGACATGTAAGAAAAAAGCCAACGATAAATTAGAACAACATGTCCAAGATCCTACAAAACACAAGTAAATTTTGTTATATATATTTAGCCTTTCTTACATAATCAAATTCTCTTGTAGGTATCGCCTACAATGTTCAAACGATTTGATCAAGAAATCCATATGCTAATCTTTAATGAAAAAATTCAATTTTTTATTATGTTTTAGACTCTTGCCATGGTGGCAGGAATGGACATATTGTAACGGTTTGATGATAACTAACAACAATGAGATTTGGCAATTAGTGTATGATATAGGATATGAAAAATTTAATCCTAAATTTATACAATATTTGGCTTGCCCTGATAATGCTAATATGACTAGAGACTATTTACGATTTCAATCTATTAGAGAACGAGAAAATCAATATGTTCTTACATACAGTCTCTTACATATTATTACGAGGCATGCTAAAAATCAAACTACACTCCGTTTCATATTAAATGATCTTTTGGAAGTAAAACCAAAGTAATTTGACATATTTTTATATATATTTTCTACAAAAATTTATTATGTGATTTATATATATATATGTATATATATGTATATTTGTTTTTTATTTTTAGACATGTTGATATCACTGCAGCAATAATTATTATTATTAATAACGTATATTCCGTAAATCAAACTCAGATAAAAATTCACATGTTTATATATGTATTTATATACAAAATGTGTTAAGAATACGATATTAATAATTATTTTTTAATGTTAAAAAATTTGATAATGTTACAACAACATTGTTTATTAATAATATTAAATAATAATACATTTTAGGAAATAAACAGTTACGTTCAACGGTTGAAGGACATTGTACACATAAATGTTGATATGAAAGCAAAGGTAAATTTAAAAAATATTATTTTGGAAAGCGAAAGAAAACGAAATATTGTTCTATTTTATTAATTTCTGAATATGAATTCTATATTCGTTTTGTTTCTTATATAAAGAGTATAATATTGATTTTATTGTGCAAATCTTTGTTTATATATATTAGGATATCATAACGCAGAATTCTGACAAAATTAAAAGCAAGATATCAATGCGCAACAGTCAAATCGAAAGACAAAGACAGTATTTTGATAGTATTTTTTATTATAAATAGATAATACTAGAAAGTAAAAAAATTGCAGCTTTGCATTGTGTACGTGGATATACTTCATATTAATAATTTTCTTTATTATCTAATACAATATAATATATAAATAATTATATCTGTATATATATATATATAAAACATGTTTGTATAACTATAAGAATTTGTAATATGTTATAAAGTTATATATAAACTAATTATAATTGTATGTGCTTATATGTTCAATATTAAAATATCTTTTACATTTAATTTATTGTTATTATATAAAATTTGTGATTGATTAGCATTTTTAGTTTACAATAAATCACATAACACAATCTCTCTTTCTTTCTCTCTCTCTCTCTCTCTCTCTCTCTCTCTCTCTCTCTCTCTCTCTTTCTCTCTCTTTTTTTTTCCTCCCTATCTTCCTTCCTCTTTCTTGTGTAAATCCACATTTTAATTTCAATAAAGTTATTTAAATAAAATATTAATTTTAATATAATATTTATTAAATTATTTTACATAACTTTTAAATTGTGCAATCTAATTCGGCACTTATTACTAATATTTTTAGTAGACATAGAAATACTGCAAAATGTGTTAATCGGAATTCTAACTTAATTATATTTTGTTAATTTTAATAACGCCATTTTTTCTGTAGGAAACCAATTTCTACATCAAAAATTGTCTTCGTAGAAGAAGCTTCGAAACACTTGCACTCACGTTTCTTTTGTTTCGTTCGCGATGTTTGGATTTTATAGCTGTCACATTTTTCACGCACTGTCAATTTTTATGAAAAAAATTACGGGACTAATTCATCGCGTAACTTCCCACTTATTAAATCGACAACGTCAAAAAGCTCCAAAAATTCTCGCGATCCACGCACGTAAATTCGTTCGCGCAAACTTTCGACGACTCATGTCGAAGCTGACGTCACGCGCTTTCGAGGGACTGAACCTTGAGCGAGATTCGCGGTCGATGAGATCAATTTATTAATTTATTTCGCGCGGATGCAGTTGCGATCGTGATGTTGGTAGACGCGACGCGATCGGATTTATACGATAATAAAGTAATTAACGACGCGAAGACACTAATTAGTACTCATATATTCGTACTTTAACCGACGTAAGCGCGGGAACATTTAATTGCGAAAGTGCACTAGAGGGCAGCAGGCAGCAGCATTCTAGATTGTGTTCGAAATATATTCACCTAGGAAACGCTCGATCGACCAATCAGGACGAAGAGATCCTCGGTTTTCGATTGATTGGACAAATTCTGTACTTTAATGAATATATTTATTTTCGCTCGAATATATCTGTAAATAAATACATGCTATATACATAATTATTTAAATTTCAAAAATATAATTTTATTATTTGAGAAATGAATATAAATTAATAAAATTTCTAAGTTAATTCCCTTAAGTTTTTTATAAATAATCTTGTAAATTTAACTGCACAGCTACTTGCAAATTTAAAAATAGATTTAGATTATTTTTATATAATACTAACATAAAATATACTAAACTAATCATTTATCATTTATACTTAGCAATTTTAATAGCGTAGTTAAAATTTGTCATTCTTTCTATTATATAATTTTTATACTTTTACTGTATTTTAAATGAAATATAGTTTTCACTTCTACATGAGAACAAAATATTAATTAATCAATCATATCAATATATATATTATTAGAATGCATTATATTATATGTATAATATGTAATATATTTTTTATAAAATAATTTGCTGCCTTCTCGAATTGACAGTCCAGAATTCTAAAGCGCCGCCAGATGGCGCTGACGGCGGCGGCGGCGCTTCCAATAAGCGCAACGCTCCGTCTTGCTAGTTCATAGTCGAAGCCTGATTGATATTCTTCGTATCGGAGAACGCGTATTATCTTTTGCCTCCTGGTGAACCGATACGGGCTCTCGTTATCGCGACTTCGCATCGAGGTTCTACGACGGATCATCGAAAAACTGTTCGACTTTTTGGCCCCGAGATTCCACGCCACGAGATCATCAACATGAGTAATGTGCCAACAGGTGAGATCATCGACTCTCGCCATCGGATCCTTCGATCCGATCGAGAAATGCGTTTTTATATATTATTTATAAGAAAACGGAATAAATCAATTGTCGAGAGTGACGAGGATTTATCGAACGCGAGCGAATTTAAAAGGGGTCGATCGGATTCTAACCTATAATTATATGCGCTGTTTGACTTTTCCAGCGACCTTGTGAACTTCCGTAAGTCGTCTGTTTACGTGTACATATGTGTGCGTGACCGGCAATTCCGACAGCAAAATTCTGCGCAAATCATATGGCCGTGATATCGATTTAAAACTACACTTTAGTATTTTAATTTGACACTTGTTTATATTCTCGAGAGACCAAAGGTTTATTATATTCAAGATTTTAATATCTTATTTTTTTTTTTTTTTTTCAAACTTTTTGGTACTTAATTTTTAAACGCATATGTTAATGACATATATATAACTATATATAAGTATAGCTAAATTGTGTAAAATTATTATAACAATTTTTTACGTTTTTTTTTTTTTTTTTTCAACTTAGAAAAGAGAAAATAGAGTATAAATATATGTGATATATGCATAGATTGCATTTATGATGCGGGTACAGCTGCATTAATTAAGGTCGATTTGCTGCATTTACTATTGTTGATTGACTCTTCTTTGGATAGAATTTCATCGCAACACATTGATTTTTTAACATACATTGTTTTTCATTATTTTTCTTCACATATTCTAAATTATTTTTTAATTTTATATTTTTTTCTATATTTTAATATCGATTTTTAGAAATTTACATATATGTATGAAGAAAAATTGAGATAAGATACTGATTGTGAGTCATTAAAGATAAGAAACAAATTTGAAAAATAATTCTTCGAAATCAAGATAATAATTATTAATTAAGAAAATAAATATATATTAAGCAAGAGAACAATCTTCAATCAAAGATGGTTTTCTTTTATTTGTTCCAGTTTATCGTAAACACTCGTTAGAAGGAATTTTGTTCTGTCTTCATCCGATATTCGCGTCGATGTTATCTCCTCGCAAAAAAAAAAAAAAAAAAATACATTAACCCTTTGGAAAGATTAAAAATGCAACAACCGTCTTATTGCTAAACACACACACACGTCGCTAAGCACAGACGAGAATCCGCTGTTGGGTCGAATCGATAAACCGGTTTTCTCTCAAGGTTCTCAGTGCGAGAAGTTTTAGAAACTTTTATTATATTAGACGTCTTTGTATGCCACGTTCTCTTCCGCGCTTTCATAATAATCGATCGCGAAAATAAGAGACAATGCACTCACTTTTTGCCATGACACTATCTTATTTGGCCCAATTCAAACCAATTAGAACACTGAATCGTAACTAGTTAACTCTTCTGCACTGAAAAAAAATTTATTGAATTAGAATAAGTATTTATTTTTTTTAATGCTGTCAAATAAATTATTTATATAAAATTAATAATATTTATTTGTTTTAAATAAATTATTTATTAGGCAGTATTGAAATAAATATTTATTAATTTAATAATTTTTTTTCAGTGTGTCAATGCAAATTTTTTCATCTTTTAATACCTGGATATCAATTGCATGTTTTCGATATATTGCACAGTGATAATTTTTTTATCAAACATTCTTTCATTATATTTGATGAGATTTTCAAATACAAAAGTTGTAGTTTTTGTTTCGAGAAAAATTCCCTGAAACACATTTTTAACATTTATCTTTTTATTTTACAATTAAATAAAAACGTACAATCAATAATAATATGAAATAATAATGCGGAAATAAAATCTTTATGTAACAAAATAAAATCTAATTTTATATTACATTATTATTAAGTAACTAATTATTTTTTGTATAATAGATTATTATTTAAATTTTACATTATATCATTATTATTTAATTGTTTTTGAACACTGAAGAAAATTTATGGAATTTTGAATAAATATTTATTTCAATACTGCCTTATAAATAATTAATTTGAAATTAATAATAATATTGATTTGATGTGAAAAAATATTTGTTTGATATAAGAAAATCTTTTCAGAACAGATAATTATTTGTTTCAAATAAATGATTTATAATTTATGAGATAGTATTGAAATGAATATTTATTAATTTCATAATTTTCTTATTGTAATAAAATAGAATAAAATTTAATTTTACATTAGATTTTATTATTATTTTACATTAGATAATTATTATTCAATTATTTTTTTGTATCAGTTGCTTCTTCCATTTATCGATACAAGAATTAAATTAAACATAACAAGTATATCAAGAATAATATTGCTTAGAGAATAATTCTCGATAAAGTCGGTCGAGTTCAGAGAGTTGCGTTGGTAGAAATTAACGAGGATTTCCTAATTAGTGCTAATTAAAAAAATCCGTTCGCTACAATTGCGCTCCAAATATAATAAAAATTGCCGAGAAAATCAATTATCTGATGAAAGAATCGAACGCAAAAATATCGATCGTCACATATAAAAAAATCAATAACTGAAATAAAGTATCTCAAAATTTGTGTTTACGCGATATGGGACCCGTTTAGAAGCCGCTACTGGGAGCCTTTCCTTCTTCTGAAGAACCGACTTGAACCGAGGCCACTTGTCGATCCCTCTTACTTCTTTCTTCCCCTTCTTTCTTCCATTTCCATTAAAGCAGAGTGAGGACTCGCGTCTTGATTTCTCCGAAACATTTGTCCTCGCGTTCGCGTCGTTCTTTGACAGATAACAGCTGTTTACAGCCGTGAGTGCGCACGTGGTCGCTTTTCGGGGATTCGTCTCGCGAATTCGCGGATTTAACAAAGTAATATCTAATTGTTAAATCCGCGAATGTGTTAGATCCGGGAATCAATTCCGGAAAGAACGAACCTTCGAAATTGTCGTTCCTAGTGATTTTACTCGATTTTTTTTAGTGATTTTCGGTGAAACGTGAGTGTCTATTAATTGTGATCTCTTAATCATGAATGCGGAATTTAATTGCGCCGAATTTCTCGATTCACAGATTTCCGTGTCGAGATTTCTCTAATTTTTTAATTCTTTAATTACCGTGAATTCTGTGTAATAGTGTAGTCCTCGAACGTGATACAACATTTTGTTGTGATTGCATGCGTATATGCAAAGTACAAAGTGCAAAATCATATATGCGAAATTAAAATTATAGACAATTTTTGCTTTATTTATAAAATGTACAATGTATATTTGAGACAAGATAATGGAGCAAAATTTTACAGAATTTTAAAAAATTTTGGAGCAACTTTCTAATTAAAATTGTAGACAATTTTCAATTTATTTATCAAATGTATGAGTATATTTGAAGCAATAGAGCAAAATTTAGAAGAATTTTTAAAAAATATTTTGGAGCAACTTGGTAGTTAAAATTGTAGACAATTTTCAATTTATTTATAAAATGTATAAATATATTTAAAGCAAGACAACAGAGCAAAATTTAGAAGAATTTTAAACAAAATATTTTGGGGCAACTTGCTAATTAAAATTGTAGACAATTTTCAATTTATTTATAAAATGTATAAGTATATTTGAATAAGCAAGAGATAATAAAGCAAAATTTTGAAGAATTTTAAAGAAGTATTTTAGAGCAATTTGACGTGCTAGTAAGGATGGGATCAAGTTTAATGTGTACTTAAAAATCCGAATCTAATAATCAAATTTAATTTTCTACGATTTAAATAATATTTATAAAAAAGAGTATTTTATATAAATTGTCCTTGCAAATCTAGAACGCTGTATTTGAATTTTAGCTTGAGCATAAAATTTGAAACAATAATTATAAATATATATTTTTCTACGGAAAGAATCGAATCTTTTACAAATAATACTCGAACTACAAGATAAAAAATATCTACTTATATTTGCTATATATTTACATATGTAACATTTTTTATAATTACTGAAAAAATTCTTGATGCAGAAAATACAATTTTTTTCCTCCGAAGTAATTATAAAGAGAAATCATGCAAATTAAAACCTACTTAATCTCATCATCGTTACTTGCTAACAAGATCTGTTAAAGAAAAGAATAAATTGCAAATTATCGTAATATTTAATCTATATTTATTAAATCTACATTTATTATATTATATTCTTAGAACTTTCAACATGATTATCTTCGGAGACTTTCAATATATCTTTTGAATTATTTTTTGGATCAAAATCTCGAAGTGCAATTTTTGAATCTATATATTTTTAAATTCATCAATTATTATCTATTTATTTTGAAGCTTTCAACAAACTTTCGTACACTGAAAAAAAAATTATTTAATTATTCAAATAGCCTTTTATAATACACTATTTATTTGAAACTAATAATATTGATTTGTCATGAAAAAAATATTGTTTCTAATAAATGTGTAAATAAAACTATTTAAATACATAGTTCCTTGTATCGAGTATTATATCTCTACATTTTAAATAAAGTAAAAAGGTTTGATCGCCAGTAAAAATAAAAACCAAGATTAGATAGTATTAAATCGACCAACTGGCTAAGGATGTTATATTTTTTAATTAATTTTCAATATCATATTTTTATTTGTCAGCTACGTTTCGACCACAGTATTGGCCCCTCATCAGGCTACAATAGATAAATCACAAGACTAAAGTTATATAAAAATTGTGACAGATTCAAAAAACAATGTTGAATAAACTAACATTAAATTTATATTCTACGCGGATATAAATTTAATTAATTTTACATAAGGTTTCGACGAACTTTCTGCCAAGTATTCCTCGGGATCAAGCTTTTGGAGCAGAATTTCGGGACGAAAAACTCTTCGTGAATCTTCCGAGGAATCATGCGAGGCAACATGGCGAGCCCCAAGCAATCCGCGAACACGAGAAGCAACGAAGGACACAGGAGGGTCTGTCAAGAACACGCCGAAGAGGACTGTCCGAGCGAGAACGAGCGCGAGTTCGAGTCGCTGGAATACGAGGAGGACGTTTATTACTCGAAGCTGACGACGACGCCGAGCTTCGACGACATCGACGAGCTCGATGACGATGAGGTGGACGAACTGGTGATCCACTGCTGGCGCGATTCGAACGGCGAGATCGACGAGATTGTCGTCGACGACGGCAACCTGGAGGCGGAACTTCCGCCGGAAGCGGGCTCGCACGACGGAAGAGCCAAGAAGAAGAAGAGGAGATCGATCCGCGTGATCTTCCAGGACCTCTCGAAGCCCTACCTCGCCAAGATTAGCAACAGTCAGAACTACAAGAGGTTCCTGGAGCTGGTAAAAGGTGCTCGGAGAAGAGATGAGAGATTGCTTTAGCAGCATCTCATGATTTCCGATAAAGAGAGCTCGTTATAGACTTCGCTCAAAGGCTTTTCGTGAAGATTAGGACGATTGTCGATAATTTGATAGGCTGTTTCTCGACAAAATCTTTGGCGGATTGTGGAATTAATTTCTTGAATATCGAGCGAATGAATTTCGGCTAGTCGAGATTATAGAGTAGATAAATAATCGAATATTTTAATAGATAAAAGATAATAATGGAATTATTTGTTTAATTAATCGAGAAAATTATTGCGCTCAATAAGATTATATGTGTGTTCTTAGAAATATTATTTGATCAAATTACTGAACATTGTTATTAATATAAATTTGAATTCATCAAGACATTACATTATCAAAGATATTTTATATCAGAAAGATTTTTGTTCATCGATCTTAAAATCTAATCAATTTTTACACTGATTTTTGGCTTTTTTATGACTCTAGATTTTCTGAATTTATGGAATTTTTTTAAAATACATTCGCGGATTTTCAAATTTACGAAATATTTCTTATTATAATCTTTTATTGTGAAAAATTAGCGGTTTTTATGTTGCTTTCCAGTTGCTTCTCGATATCGAGTTATTTCCTTACGTGTGAAAATGTACAAAAAAAGAGTTCGCTAGAATCGTGATCGAGCAAAGCATGCTTTCAATTTTTCTCGAATGACGTTTCGCTCTGTTGAAACTGCGAAACTCTGCGCATTTTTTCTCAATCTGACGAAACACAGTCGTGTTTATTCGGAATTTAAGCAATCGTTTCCTGATCGAAAAATTATGATCGATCAAGTTCCAATTTTGCCATTTTGTATTAAAAATGAAAGAAATAATATGGAATATTAAACATTAAATTAAAGTTAATACAAAAAATAATTTATTCAATCTAAACAGAGGAAAAACATTTGAAATATTATAACATAATTTTTAATTATTATTTAGATAAAAAAAATTTTTTTTTTTTTTTTCAATTTAGATTAATATTTAATTTAATAAAAAGAATATTTAATTTGAGAAGTTTTAATTTAAAAAATATCGTAAAAAGAGAAAAAAATATAATCTACATTGCTCTAAAAATATCTGAAGAGCGCTCTCTTGTACAAATTACTTGGAGCTGCTCGACTTTTTTTTATATGTACTTATAACTGGTTTTATGACGTTCAACAACCTCAGCAACTATCTTAGCCTAGATCGATGAGTTAGTTAGATTTAATACTGATGAATTAGATAGATTGAAAGACCAATAAGTTTATAGTATAAGTTATTTATATCTTTTTTATGAGATAATATATTCTATTTAATATTACTCAATCTTAATTTTCTGATTTTAATTTTAAATTTTAATTCGATTTTATTTTTTAATTTAATTGTAAAATTATTTTTATATACAAATATAAATAAATAAAATAAAAATAAAAAGAGAAATATATATATTTAAACATAGATAATAAATTATTTATTTGTGATAAACAACTTGTTGTCAAGAAAATTATACTTCCGACCAGTCAGCATATCTTAGTGTCGTATAACTGTGGCTAATGTTTCTGTTTTCTTTTGTCCAAGGAGAAGACGCCTCGCTTCACTCGGCTGGATCTCTATCGCCCTCGGATAGTGTAACAAACGAGCTTCAAGGACTCACCTTGGAGGAGCAAGAAGAACGTAAAGCTGAATGGAGCGCTCAATTAGCTAAAGTAAGTCTCGGAAAATCGACAATCTTGAAGACGAGGAATAACATAGTTTGATTTTAGGTCGAAGAGGAAATACAGACTTTGAGACACGTCCTCGCTAACAAGATCAAGGTTTCGCAGGATCTGAAGAGGAAGCTGGGTATCAGCGTTTGGAAAGAGCTCACCGACGATGTTAATCAGGGTCTCAAAAATGTCAAGGAAAGCCACGTGTATGTGTGTATAAGTTACTCGCTTCTTTTGCATCTCTCTTATCTATGTACATTTTATATATACACTCTGTACGCTTTGTCATATTTTCTATGTAAAGGGGAAGTGGATGAAACATCGTGGCAGGCTTGCGAAATATCTTCAAATTCGTTGCACGAAATATTTATCGACGAAAAATGCACGAAGTATGTTTTTCAATTTTCTCTTTGCTAATTTCTATCTTTATGTTCACCTCTGCTCTCTATTTTTCGTCTCTTTTACGGGCTGATACTCCACTTCTTCTGTTCTTCTGTTCTCCATACATAGAAGTATTGACTTTTATTTTACTTTCGGTTGGGTTTCTCATTCAGTTATCAGAATGTCGGCGAGACACTCGGTCGTATAACCAGGACAGTCTCCGGGAACAATTTGTAAGTACATAATCATCTCATTTTCTCTGGGTGATGACTCAAATCTTATTCCTCTATCGATCTGTGTTCTGCATGCTAGCGATAGATGTTTGTACATAGGACACGCTTTAAAATTTCTTAAATCAAATAAAACACATTATTGTCAAAGTTTGATTGTTTTGGAGACCTCTTGTGTTCTTGTCGATATTTTAATTTAATAATTTGATAATTTGAAGTGTGTGTCGACGAGTATCGCCAACGTAATACAAGCTATCATTATCAAATCACATTTTGCTTGAAACAAAAACCAAATTTAATTAACATAATTATTGTTTTTGTAGTGGATGATTTATGATTGTAGCACTATTACGATGTTTTTACTGGTTTGCTGATGAATCTTTCTTTTCTTTTGTCAAATCAGATACCAAAAAACAGAATCTGTACTCAAGTCCACAGCTGAAAAGACAACCAGTATCCTGGGTGGATTTGGTAGTGGCATTTCCATGAAACTAGGCCAGATGCGCAATTCCGACAGCTTCCGGTCCTTAGAGGAGAGAGTTGGATCCGCTTGCGAGAACATTAAGGTACTAAAATTAAATTAAATTAATTAAAAAAGTAGTACCAAATTTAATTTTTTTGAATTAAATATTTATAATTAAATTAGGTAAATGCAATATGTCTTTGATATTTTTAATCTTTCTTATCAAAGTCTTCTTAATTAAATTAATTAATTAATATATATCAAATAAATAAATAAGTAAAATTATGCATTATAAAATGAACGATATATACCGGGTGTCCCGTACACCCCTTTTCTTTCACATAGTTGCATATAGTTGCAAAAAACACATAGTTTCTTATAAAAAAAAGTATGCAACTGCAAGTTGAATATTGCATATTCTTTTTAAAACAATTATCTGTTTTCTTTATACCAAGTGATTGATCTTATAATAATGTGCAGAAAGTATAAAGGCATGATTATCGAAAATTGAATATTTTACAAGATATTTTACATTTTATGTCAAAAAATTTTTTGACAAAATGTAAAATATCTTGTAAAAAATATATAATATATATTATAATATATATATATATACTATATAAAGAAATAATTTATTATACCATTAAAGATGTGTAGTTTACAAAAATTTAATCAAATTATCGAGTTTTTATTTAGAAATTTCATTTTTTTCTCCTTTGCAGACGAAAGTTGTGCCTTCGAGATCCACCTCGCCGCAGAGCTTCGACGAGGCTCTCCGGGAATCCGAAGCAATGAGGCGTGCATCTGCGGCTCCGTCGGTCACCAGCCCGACCATCCTGAGGACAAACTGCTCTCTTAGAGCCCACAACATTGCCCGAAGCTCGTGCGTCTTCACCGCACGATATAAAGTGCTGATTATGCACTATATCACTATTGCATTCGTCTACTTGCAATCGCTATAGAGGGCCAAACGGCGATGTATCGTGCACGTCGAATGAATCGATAACTTCGTTGACCTTGATAGCTTCGGAATCAGA